ACTTGAGAGGTAAAGGCAGGAGAATCAAGAGTTCAAGGTTAGCCTGGTATACAGGAGACATTCCTCAAAAGTCCATAAACCAACCAATTAAAAAGTATTTGAAGTCGGGAGTGGTGGTGCACACCTTTAATCCCAGCACTCAGGAGGCAGAGGCAGGTGATCTCTGTGAGTTCGAGGCCAGTGTGGGGCTACAGGGAAACTGTCTCAAAAGAAAAAGAAAATAGAGAGAAGCCTGCTTACTAATCGGCAAATGTGGCAGGCATGCTCCAACCTTGGGTCTTTTGTGTTTGTTGTGTTAGAATTTCCACCTCCTAAATGGCAAACTCTACATCTTCTTTAAGTCTTTATTAACAGTTCACCTTCCCAGAGCAAAGCCTGGTCTAAAGCTTCTACTCCCCATGCACATGTAATTCATTTTCTCCTTCTCTGTCATACTATTTCTTTTTCAACACTTATCACTAGCATAGATATTTTACTTGTCTCAATCAATATAAGTTCATGAGGAAGGAATTTTTTTTCTATTTCGTTCATTTCCCCATTCTCAGCACCTAAACTAATCCCTGGCAGACAAAACATTCTAAAAAAGCATTTGCTAATAAATGAAGGCCCCATTCAGCCTCTTCTAAATATAAACAACCATTTCATTATTTTATTTCTAGATGTGGCTTAGCTTTCCTAATATTTCAACTAAAGACAAGTCTGTAAATGTAAATTTTCTTATACTGTAAATATTAACTGATTTTAAAAATGGTATAAACCTAAAAACATTTATATTAGGCTATGAATTGGCACTCAATGTATAACATGCCTTCAGAAGTCTATCATTTCTAATCTCATCAATTTTGTCTGTCATTCACACAAAATTCATTCCTCTATTAGGTTAATCACTGATACAAGTGCCCCATTATCAGTTCCTTTGGAGAAACTAACAGGCATATAAAGCTCAAATGCACAGGTAAAGAAAGTAATTAGAATTACACTTGCCATGATATTCTACTTTTGCATTTAATTCTTTTTAATTTCTACAGTACCATTTTTTGTGCCTAGAACTATACAGGCGGTCTAATGGTGACTTCAAGAAGAGACAAGGAAACGAAGTGAAAGCAATTATAAATTTTTTTTATTTGTTCTTTTCAACTAAATTTATCAATCATTAAGTGTTTTTTTTTTTTTCATTAGTGAGAAATGTTGACTGACAAGGTCTGCCAAACCTCACAACATATTTCTGCTACGCGTGCCAATCCATGCTTTCTCCTAGAACTTACAGGACATGGTTGTTTTTCACCTGTGTGCCTTCTGTCTGTGCTCGTACCCTGGAAGTTTAGATCAGAAGAATCTGATGAAGGGTTCCAGATTAAACTGTCAATTCCTCACAAACTAGATAAATATACAGTTTATTTGCTGATGTGAAATAGGCTAACATCTTTCCTAGTTTCTTTTCATTTTATTATTTTTTCTAATAAATTTCTCCCCTTCTTTCTGCCTTTTAAGTCTATCAAAAGAAAGTAAGTGAGGTGTTGGTCACATCTGTAATCCTAGTACTTGGGATATGGAGGCAGGAGTATTGGTTTAAACCCAATCTTGGCTACATAGCAACTTTAGGGTTAGGCCAGCTCAGGCTGCAGGGGAACCGGTCTTGAAAAAAATAGGGGAGGGACTGGAGAGATGGCTGCTCTTACAGAGGATTGGGGTTTTAGCGCTCAGCACCCACATGACAGCTAACAACTGTCCTAAACTCCAGTTCCAGGGGATCTGAAGCGTTGGCTTCTACCAGCATTGCATATACATGGTGAGCCTACATACATGTAGCAAAACACTCATATACATAAAAATTAAAAAAATTTTAAATAATAAAAAAAATCTAACAACAAAATAAAAGCAAATTAGAAAGAAGTGGTGAATGAAAGTAAAAGGGAATCTCCTTCAAACTTACAAACTAATCTTGTGCCATTTGGGTGCTGGGGTTCGAACCCGGGTCTTCTGAAAGAACAGTAAGTTTTCTTAACCACTGAGCCATCTCCCAGCTCCCGTATTAATTATTGTTATAGACCATCTTTTATCTGAATTTAGTAAGAAGCCTATAATAACTTTTTTTTTTTTTTTTTTCGGTCTTTTTTGAGACAGGGTCTCCCTGTAGCCCCAGCTGACCTAGAACTCACTATGTAGGCCAGGCTGGCCTTGAACTCACAGAGATCCACCTACCTCTGCATCCCAAGTTCTGGGATCAAAGTTGCCATCATGCCTGGCAGAAGCCTATAATGACTTTTAAAGGGTAAAAGTACAAAATCTTTGTACTCCTTCATATTTCTAACTGTATGAAGTCTCTAGAAAATACATGCAAATTATTACAAAATATGCAATGTTATAATGAATACAGCAAAGATGATAACAAATAGAATTGACAGTGAACAAAAACAAGTACAGTATAAATGAATGCTTAGGACACACACAAAACGGCATGAAGAAACAAGTATCACACTATCTATGTAACAGATTAGACATTCTCTTCTGTTTGTCAGGTCAATGATTAATGAGTACTCTAAAAAGAATTCCTGACTTAAAAAAATTATTATTTTTATGAATATTAGTGTACTGCCTGCAAGTATATAAGTGTACCTGTGTTGTATAATCCCTGTGGAGGTTGAAGAGGGTGTCAGATTCCTTTGGAACTGGAGTTATGGTTGTTAGTTGCCATGTGAGTACTGGGAATCAAAGTCCAGCTCTCTGTAAGAACAACCAGTGCCACTTCTCCAGCCCCAGTATTCCTGACCTTTGACAATAAAAGTTCTAGCAGGAAATGCCTTTAGCAACCAGCTGACTCAGTTATTTTAATTTTAAAAGAATAAACATACATACACTATCTAATTTATTCCTAAATTTCTTCTCTGGTGAAATAACCTTCATTGGCTCTAAGGACTTCCTATACTGCTCTAAAAATAATATGGATATTATTAAAATGATTATCGGACCCAAACTAGAAGTGATTTTATATTATGACCCAGTACAAATTCTGCAATAGAAATCATGCTTAGTAGAGCTGGGAACGTAGCTCAGTTGGTGAACATTATGCATCTAAGTGCCTAGAACTCATGACACTCTAGGTTCATCTCCTAGCAACACACGTGGTACATGGCTGTAATCCTGACCCATGGAAGGTACAGTCAGGAGGATAAGAAGTTCAAGATTGTTCTCTGCTATACAAGTTCAAGTTTGAAAATGAGGTCAGCCTGTATCTCAAAACTACACAAAAATGGCCATGTGTGGTAGTGCACGCCTTTGATCCCACTGATGCCAGCACTCAAGATCAAAGAAGCATGTGGATCTCTGTGAGTTTGAGGCCAGCCTTGTCTACATAGCAAGTTCCAGGCCAGCTGGGGTTACCAGGAGACCCTGTCTCAGAAAAAAAAAAAAAAAAGAAAATAATATTTAACAGAAGCTATTCTTAATATTTTTAAAAAGATTTCATCAGGTAGATAAATTAGTGTTTTTGACTATATAGAACATATGCCCAGTAGGATCTTTTTTTTTTTTAAAGTGCGAAAAGAGTAGGTATCAGCAAAACTCACCCTTAGGCATAGGGTTTATTTCAAACTCATTTTCAGTTCATTGCCAATTTTCTAATAGCATCTTTTCTTACAAAGGTATAAGTAATGTGAAAATTAATGAGATATTATGCATCTAAGTGCTTAAATGCTTATCACAAGAGATTTACTACTAAATAAAAGAGAGAACCATTCACTCACCAGAATACTATGCACTCCTAAGTAGAACAAAAATAATTTCTAAAATTAAGTGCAAAATAAAAAACTGATGTCATATTATACTTAACTTCTATAAGAAGGAAGAGGCCCTAAGCATATAACTACCGTTATATGGAGATTAACTCTAGAATGACACGTAAGAAACAAGCAACACTGGCTGTATCCAGGGAAAAGAAATGGGTAGCTGGATGATACACGTAGAAGGGTGATGTTTCCTTGAACAGTATGGTTGTATTCGGAATTATGTACCACATCCAACTTTAATTTACCTCAGAGGAAAAAAATTTCCTTGTGAAAGATCCTATTGTTTATGACTACCCATAATTTTTTTTCTTTACCTGTATACATTAATTGTACAAACTAATGGGCTTAATTATGTTTCTACTTTCACATTCTATTTTTTAAAAATTTAGATTCCACATGACAGAAAACACATGGTATTTGTTTTTCTATAACTCATAAATTTCTAAGCTCATTATTTCTTTTCCTCTGCTGTATTATCAATATATAATTTTCAAATGAAATCAATATTCACTTAGCAGTATATGCCTAATCTGCCTGGCTTCTCTATGCTTTTACCTATTATATAACTATCTTTAAAACAGCTTTAAAATCAGATTATTTGCAGATTCTAAAACTGCTACATGGCTGGAGAGATGGCACAGCTGTTAAAAGTCTAAGGCTAACAACCAAAACAACAAAACTGCTATATGGAGAAAAAAATCAATATAGAACTCTGCTGATATAAAAGGGATTCCCAAGTAGACCATAAGAGAAATCCATGGTTCCTATTTTTGATTGATAAGGAAAGGTTCATCTTTTAGACTTGAAGTTTGGTTATCTGTAGTACTCACGTTTCTAGTTGAGTATCAAGACTCAATACCTCATCATGAAAATATTAAGAGACATAGGAATATTTTATAAAGTTAATAAATGCTGGGGCTGGAGAGATGGCTCAGCAATTAAGAACACTGATTATTCTTGCAGAAGACCTGGGTTCAAATCCTAGCACCCACATAGCAGCTAACAACTGCCCATAACTCCAGTTCCAAGGGATCCGACAGCCTCTTCTATTCTTTGTGGGCACTGCACCAGACGGGTGCACTTACCTACATGCAGGCATAACACTCATACACATAAAAATATAAATAATAAAATATTTTTTAAAATGCTTATGTACATATTTTTCTTCATGAAGTGAAAAACAAGAAAATAAGAGTGAAATACACATATTCCTACCTTTAAACATGTCTCATTGGTCAACAGTGCAACTTGTTTCTCGGGAGTTTGCTGTTCCACGTACCTAAAAGTTTTACCATCGCACACAGAAAAAGGAAATATTAAACATTCTACATATTTGAATAGCATGTCAAGAAAAATAACTACCTAGATTCATCTCTATGTATTCTTATTTCTTCTCAAAATTAAATTCAACACAACAGTTCCTGATTACTTTAATGGTAATTTGTTTTTTATTTATTTATTTATTTTTGTTATTTTTGAGACAGGGTTTCCCTATAGCCCCAACTGGCCTAGAACTTGCTATGTAGACCAGGCTGGCCTCGAACTCAAGAGATCCACCTGCCTTTGCCTCCAGAGTGTTCACATTAAAGGCATGCACCACCAACCATGGCTTTAATGGTAATCTGTAATAACTTAAATCAGCTACTCTTAATACTGGAATCATAAACAAAGACCATATACCCCAGAAATAGAAAATGTTATTTCTTTTTTTAAAAAAATATTTTATTATTTTTATTTTATTCGTATGAGTGTATTGCCTGCAGGTAGGTAGGCATATTTATGTCATGCAATACCCATGGACGTCAAAGCCCCTGGAAGTGGAGTTATGGACAGTTGTTAGCTGCCATGTGGGTGCTGGTAATTGAACCCAGGTCTTCTGCAAGAACAGCCAGTGCTCTTAACCACTAAGCCATTTCTCAAGCCCCAGGAAATGTTATTTCTAAAAGATAGCTCTGGAGAACTTGCATTATGTTCTTTGATAAATTTATTTTTTCCTTATGCCAATTTTTCTAATACAACAAACAAACCCCATCATTAAAATCAGAATGATTTTGTACTATAAAATAAAAGGCTTATTCTGTTCTTCACTTCAAAACCAACTGAATCTGGGGTCCTTTATTTTTTTCCCAGTCTCTAGTATAAGATACATTAACTATATAATTTCTCTTTTTACCTCCTAAATGATGGAAGTCGTCGGATGTTTTCACATTGATTAACTGATAAAAATTTTATTCTTTTCTTGGCTTCTGGAAGATCACAGCACAGAACACTTAGGGGTTGGGAATAAAAATGTTCTAGAAGAGAAAGCTGAAAGAAATACGAGGATATTTATTATATTTTGGCAGTAAACATTTATATTAGCTGCTCAATTTTAAGACTTTTTTTAAAGAGCAAAACTATTTATGGCACAATTATATTTAAGAATGTCACAACAACACTGCAAACAATCACGTAAGTGATTATATACCTCTAATATTTTCAAGTTTTAATTTTGTGGATGAGGTTAGAAAATAGTAATTTCAGAAATACAAACTAAAATGAAACAATATAAATGAATGCACCACCTGTAGAAACCACTTAGGATGACTATATAGTACGGATGGGACTAGAGTGTGATTTAAAGATATATTAGATGTCCAGAACGCATAAGAAGGCATCAACTCGAAATCAGTACACTATCTGATCTGTTAAATAAATATAAGTGTTGCAATGATAGTGTGCTTACTGATAAAAAAAAGAATAACAAAAATCTGTACTTTCAAATTTAGTTTGATTCCATGGAAGGAAAAAAAATGGTACTTTGTCTAATAAAGGTTTTAAAAAATACACTGCTGCAGTCTCCACAGGAGCAATAATTTTCCAAATTCTAAGTTATAAAATGAGATATATTATCAAAGTATATATTCTTCTGATTCTTTTTAAAATTTAAACATTTTTTTTTAGTCTCTTTGAGATAGGGTTTCCCTGTAGCCCCAGCTGGCTTAGAATTCACTATGTAGAGCATGCTGGCCTTGAATTCACAGAGATCTGCCTGCCTCTGCCTCCCAAATGTTGGGAATTACAGGTGTGTGCCATCACACCCAGCACATTCTTCTGATTCTAAGCATGTTTCTCAGGACTAATTTTCTCAAGATAGTCTAGTTACTGGAGAGATAGTTCTTTAAATAATGGAATACCTTCTTGTCAGTGGAAAATAGCATTCTCTACAAGAAACAAATTAATCTCTTCTGTTATAAACAAACTTTGAAGTACAGGTTTGTCACATATAGCTTTTAATATGACATGTTCTGTCTATTCCTACTTTCATTACATTTACAGATTTGTATTACTATCAAATGTCCTTGCACACCCAGAATGAACCAAGTTGATTACAATCTTTGTATTGTTAGTTTACAAGTATTTTACTGAGAATTTTTGCATCATACTTCTCTATGAAATTGATAGTTTTGTTATTATTGATCACAGTAAGATCTTTGTATTATTCACTTTGATTTGCATGTATTTTACTGAGAATTTCTGTATCTATATGCTTCAGGGAAAATAATGTATAGTTTTTTATGGTTAAGCCCTTAACTGGTTTCAATATCAAAGTAATATTAGCTTTATAGAATGACTTTGGAAATACTTCTTTTCATTCTCTTTTATGGAATAGTTTGAGGAACACTGGTAGTAGGTCTTCTTCAAAGGTATAGTACACATGGCAGAAGTCTTTGTTGATAAAGTATTGCTACTTTAATCTCATTACTGATCTGTTCAGGTTGTTTATATCCTCTTGGTTTACTTTTTGGTAGGACATATGTTCCTAGAAATTTATCCATTTTTTATTCTCAATTTTCCAATTACATTTTCATAGTTTTTCTTATCTATGGAATTTCAGTAGTATCTGTATCTGTAATATCTCCCTTTTCATCTTTAATTAACTTGTATCTTTTTTGGAAAGGGTTAGTTTGGTTCTGGGCTTGTGGACTTTAAGTTTTCAAAGAAGAAACTCTTTGCTTCACTGGTCCTTTATATGATTCTCATATTTATTTCATTAATTTCTGCCCTGATCTATACATTCTTGTTTTTCTCTCATAAAATCCCCAAATATGTTTCTTTCACAACACTGATTACTCAGCACTGTAACTGCAGGTTTATTTTTCTGCCTCTTTCACTAGACAAGAAACAACCTAAACATAGATTTCTTTTTCCTTTGTACATTTAGGACTCAATACAATGCCCTGCCTCACTGTAAACTCTAGGTATTTATGAGCAAATAAACGAAATGAATGAGAATACATATCAAAAGCAAACAGCTTCAAAACACTAAAAAAGATAAGTAATATACTTTTGTAATGAAAGTTGCAATACATAGATTTTAATGAAATTGACAACTGGTGTGTAGTCACAAAGATCGTACAGTTGCCAAAAGAAATTTTTAAACAATGGAAGAATGGGGTCTTTTTTTAGGTTAGAACCAATGCTATGAAGTTGAAATTCAAGAATTAGTTTGTGGCAATTCATAAAACTCTAATGAGCATGCATTCCTGATACATGAAACTAAAAATGTGCTTTTACATCTTTAAAAACGTATTACTGTAGCAGCAAACACACATGGGAGCAAAGCTGAAAATGTTCACTCTGGCCCATCAGAAAAGTCTGGTGATCCCTCATATATGGTATTTCTTAGGTAGAAAGTTTGTAAGTTTTCATCAAATCCCAAACAAAAAACTATACCTGTTCCCTCTCAGTGGTTAAGACTCACTAGAATGGAAACAGCTTTTTTCATTATTCATAGATATTCTAATTAGTATATCCTCTATATGTAGCAGCAAGATAACAAAGGAATGATAGAATCTAGAAAAAAAATAACTTGAATTTACTCTTCTTAGATCTTGTCATTTAAAATGCCTTCAATTATCACAATACTCATTTAGAATCAGATAGCAAATCTTCAAACTCATTAGTCTTTTCTTACCTTAAGTCCTTTGATAAAATTTTGAATTGAAAAATCATGATACAGAAAGATGTTGGTCAGAACCTGTAACACTTTTTCACTTATTTTAAAAGGATACTGAGTTGTAAGAAGCAGCTGAAAGATAAGAGGGACAGAAGGCATACTCCTTAGTCTTCATTCACATTAAGTAGAAATAATGAGATAAAGAATAACACCGTAACATAGCAAACATGAAAGCAAAGGTAGCTATGCATCTTCTTAGGGCAAATATCAATCCAACAATTTTATGGGACTGGAAAGATGGCTCTGCGGTTAAAAAACAGCCCTGCCCACTCTTGCCAAGGACCTAGATTCAGTTCCCAGAGACTTCCACAAGCTAATCAAGCAGTCTACTAGCCTGAATTTTTCCACTGAATAATGAAAAGTATGTGTGTGTGTGCACGCGTGGGTGTGTGATCACTGTTTTCATAAAGTTTATCTGAAGAGGCAATTCTACAGAAAATGCCAATGAAACATAAACATAACTGAATAAAAATATTAAAATATGTAAAGGAATAAGTTGAAGGAAGTACTCTGAGACATGAAGAGATTTATCACCAACATCTATCATGTACAATATATGTCTGGCAGCTCCTTTTACAGCATGTCGCAGGTAAATTTTTTTTAACTTTTTACCTTATCAAGTACAGTAGTCAGGTGTTCTTTGCAAGACAAAGACTGGAACAGTTCTATACACAATAGAGATGATACTGCATGAGGAAGCAATCGGTGGATGATAACAGGAGATGTGGCGATTCCAAAAATGAGAATTAGTGGAAACTCATGCAGATGTTGACTAGTTTTTAAAGAAAGATACAAAAGTGAAGTTTCTTCAGCAAATATTTTAATACATCATTTCAAAATGATTATTTTATAAGATGCTGCTAATAAGGTATCATTACAATTATTCAAATTTTCTAAGTTTTCTTGAAATAATAATTTAAAAAAATAGCTATTTCTCAGATTCTAACTCTGAAATCAGTTTACTAATGGATCCTTTCATTTTACAAATAAAAACATAGCATCCAGAAAGATCAAGAGCTTCCTTCTAATATCAGATATTCGCTCGCAACTGCTTGATAATGTCTAAAATATTATTCAATTTCACCTCTCACCCATTTTGAGCTTCATTTACAGCCTTCCTCATGGTTTCCCCACCAGTTTCTCCCTACTTCCCTTTCTACACATACATAGCTTTACACATACTTAAGATATCTTTTTAATGGACAGCATTAAAAAGTGTTCATGCCCTTTGAGACAAGGTCTTCCTGTAGCCCCAGCTAGCCTGGAACTCACTATGTAGATCAGACTGGCTTCAACTCACAGAGATCTGCCTGCCTCTGCCAAGTACTGGGACTACAGGCCTGCACCACCACTCCTAGCACTTCCTTTTATTTTTATCTCAAACATATTGAACATGATTTATTCTCAGTAATACCAAGACAAGACTCTACAGAGTCAAAAAGCCTAATTTTTGAAGGGTACTGCAAGTCAGAGTCCTCTGTATCAAGGCTAACCGTTCTGCTTGTTCTCTATCAGCTATTGCTTTTCCAGTATTTCAGCTATATGCAATTATACATTCACGGGAATAAAGTGCTATACTCTTACTGCTTTGTAAGTTAATTTTGACAGCTCTAGGAATACCAACTCAAAGTTCTAAAACGTACTGCCACTATACTATGCTGTATGTACATTTCCACGTTAAGTAGTTCAGCATTAAGAAAAACCCAAGGGCAGAGTCTTGAAGATAGAATTCAGTAGTAGAAATCTTGTTTAGGCATATATGAAGTTCTGGGTTCTGTCCCCAGCACTAGGGGTAAGGAGACAGAGAAAGAAACAAACTACAGCTCTTATGTTAATGGGAAGAAACATCAAAAAGCACTATCAAACAAGAATTTTTAGTATGTCAGCAAATTAAAAATCAATATAAGCAATTGTAGCCATTATGATGAAGTCAAGTTGACATACAGAATATGCAAAAGAAAAAAATTATACTGTAACCAATGTACAATAGGAAATGAATGTCACAACATTTTAAAATAGGGTTAGTCAACTTCAAATCTAAGTCTCACAGGATCTCCTTAAAGAACTCATGAATAAGTACTTTCTTACTAGAAATACTATCTCATAGTTTATCAACTTCATGGGTAAACAAGACAGATAATCATGGCAAGATAAAGGACATGTTGATTACAAACAGGCTAAATCTGGCTTTCTTCTCACTCTTACGTCAAAAAGCAAGAGAAAAAACCTAGTAAGAGGTCTTTGAACATTCACTTATAAAAAACCCGAAAGCACTTTGAATTGCATAGTTTGTCCTAAAAAGATCATGCTTTTCTTAACAAAAAGTAAATTTTGCACAAAAGCCAAGTAACTGGGGGTGGAAGGAAACCACAGGGATGGAGACAGGAAAAGAAAGGTGAGGATGAACCCAAAGCAAGTAAGTATAAAAATGCCACAGAGATCTGCAACTTTGTATGTACTAAAAAGCAAAAACAGGCCAGCGAGATAGCTCAGTGGGTGAAGGTGGATCTGGCAACCCGAGTTTCACCCCTGGAACACACAAAGGTAGAAGGAGAAAACCAACTCCTCAAAGTTGTTCTCTGACTTCTACATGTGACCTATGGTACATATGCCCCCCCAAACACATATAATAATAATAAATAATAAATGAAGGCAAAAATAGAAAAGAAATAAAAAAAATTTAAGGTCAAGTGACGCACCATCTACCTGCTGATAATTATGAAGTCTTGGAGTACTTTTGTGGTGAAGCTCTCCATATCCTTTAAGATAAGTACAACAGGAGGAGACTGCCATTGGCCAGAAGTAGTCCTCTTTTTGCTTGGCATTTTGGGGTCTGTCTTCTTTTAAGTTATTGTGGAAAGGAGGAGTTAAAAGTAAGTCTCATCAATCAAACAATGCTGTAAGTCCACCTGTCAATGTATCTCTTTTTATATTTCAGAGTGAGAATGTTTCTTTGATTAGTCCAAAGTAATAAACAGTATCTCATTCCAACAGTTACTAGCAAAATCTTTCTAACATGGGAATAGTTAAGCCACAAGAAAAAGGTTCAGTAAAATCTATTACTCATATGAAATAGATTTTTCTACTGAAAATCAATGGAAGAAGAAAAAAATTTTCTATACAATTGATTCTTCATTTCCCCCAGAGATGGTCATAGTAGAAAAGAATTCATATTTTCTTGAATATACCTAACTTACAGAATATTGTTTTGTTCAATATACCATACTTCAAGGGTAAAATTTCCCAAGTATTCTTAGTATAGAATAAACTAAACTTCAAAAATCACAGAATTATTCCTTATAGGACTGGGTCTATAGAACGAACAGGTGATATGGTTCTACTGAACAAAAGCAAATACATTCCTAAAAGATAACACACCAAAGCTACAGCTATTATTACTGACAGAGAGTTAGGGAAACGTGGGAAAGTAGGCATGGACCTGAGGGGCTGCTTCTTATTCCCAAGCGCTTAGTAAATGTTGCAAGTGCTAAGAGTCACAATGGCCAGAAGAGGGCATGTACCTGGCCCAAGGGAGAGAGCCTGGTCTGAACCAATGAGGGAGTTGGGGGATCAGAAGGGGAGGGCAACCAGGAGCCTATAAAAGGTCTCACCAAGAGCTCTAGGAGGGACCTAGCTCCGGGCCCCTCCCCGCCATGGGTATTGCTTGTCTACCACAAAGAAGTTTGTTGTCTTGGTTCTTCTCTCTTGTTGATGACTAATGCCTCTCCAGTCCCCATGTTTGCAGCTTTCCCACTTCTTGCATCTATCACTTTCAGCTTCTTGGACCCAAGCCACTTCTGTGAACCCTGATGCTGCAGCAGCTTCCTTACCCTTGCTGCCTACCATTTTTCACTCTCCTGGCTAGGCTGCTCCTACAATTCCCGGGCACCTGGCTCCTTGCCCCTCTTATCTGTCACATTCACTCTCTCCACCATTCAGTCGTCTGTCCTTCCCTAACATTTAATTCTTTGTTCATCCACTGAACAAGCTAAAGGGATCCCTTAGTAGACCATCCCTCAACCCCAAACCCCGTAACATTAAAGTGATAAAATTTACAACAAAACAAACCTCTGATGATGCTCTTTTTGTTATTATATCATGTTCTTAGAAAAATCATCTATCATAAACATTATGCTTATTAGAAAAGAATAGTATGAAAAAGTAAGTCTGAGCCAACTTTCTGAATATTCAGGTTTCTTTTTTACCTGTGTGACGGTCATATACCAACTGGAAAGTGAATCCACTGAATAATATGTCTTTTTCTGGGTGACCTTAACATTTGCTTCCTCTTTGGGTTTTATATCTACACAGCAGTCCATCAACTGTGAGGCAAACCTTTGCAAAAAATGTTTCAAATCTGCAGAGCATAAAAAGTAAGAAATCTTATCTCCTCTTAAAACAAAATTAAAGTCACTGAAACTTTTGTTTATTAGGGATTGGGCATGTAGTTCAGTTAGGAGGGTTCTTATGCTTCACAAATAAACATACGCTTGATTCCAAGCACCACATAAAACCACGTGTGGTGATACAAGCCTGAAATCCCAGAACTCAAGAGGTAGAGACAGGAGGATTAGGAATCTAAGGTCATCCTTCGCTACATAGTAAACTCAAACCAGATTGGGCTACATGGGATTCTGTCTAAATAAAATAAATAGCATTAGTTCATACTAAGATCAGACTAACATCTATGTGCACTATCTACAAGAGTTATCTAAGCAAATATGTAAACTATAAATTATTTTTGGAATAATATTTATATTTAATGTAAATCATTAAAATCTTTAAAATCAAGTTTTATAGGAGTTACCTTACTGACTATAAATCTTCCTTTATAATCATTTTCAAAAACATTCTTATAACTTTAATCAGTTTACCACAACAAAAGAACTACATGTACATTAAATCTATTATCAGTCCAAATACAAACAAATTTTAGTATATTGAGTATACACCCTTTGTGACTTGACGGCTTCAGACATTCAAGTCTGGCTCAGTTGATACTCTTTTTTAAATGACTGATGGCCTTCTAATGTGGGAAAATAGGGTGATTTAAAGTAATACAAACACAGAGAAAGAGAAGGGGGGGAGGGGGAAAGAGAGAGAGAGAGAGAGAGAGAGAGAGAGAGAGAGAGAGAGAGAGAGAGAGATTAATAGGTGAAAGGTAAGAGGAGCGTACAGCAGAATTCTGCATGGCATTTATATTTTACCTGGACACTCTTTAGCTTGCAATAATACCACATATGGTGTGACGTTATTGTGAAGGGCCTCTGTTAGACTTCTGAATATTAAATCGTGATCCGTGACATTCACACCTATGAGAAAACACACAATATTACACCACCATTTTTATTAATAATTTAGTAAAAGGTATTTTTAAAATGCAAAGTTCCAAGTGAAAACATTAAAAATATGATTTGTAAAAGAAATCAAGAAAATATACAAGAGCTAGCTATTGATAACATATGATCTAAAGGAATATGCTACAGTGTGGTTCCTGAATATCCCCCAGAGGGATATTGGTTGGCTGGAAATTTTTCCACTAATCTGGGAGTAAATCTATTGATACCTTCCCTAGCAAAACAATCTGTGATTTCTTTAAAGAAAAAAGGCCCATGGGGCTGGAGAGATGGCTAAGAACACTGGTTGTTCTCACAAAACACCCAGGTTTGAATCACAGCACCCACATAGCTAAAAACTTTCTGTAACTCCAATCCCAGAGGATCCAACAGCCTAGCCTCTTCTGACCTTCATAGGCATTGCATGACACAGGTGTACTTACATACATGCAGGCAATACATGCATACACATAAAATAAAAATAATAAAATTATTTTTAAAAAGCCCTTTTGGCATTCTAGGTAACTAACAACACACATTTCCAGACTGGTTATACAAGTTCTACTGGAAAAAAAAAAGAGGGGAAATTAATAAATTTCAGAATCAGAACCATTCATTTATGCCAGTAGTAATTTTTTCCAGGGGCTAGAGAGATAGATGAGCAGTTACAAGCACTGGCTGCTCTTGCAGAGAACCCAAGTTCAATTCCCAGCATCCACATAACGACCAACTGGAGTTCATAACTCCAGTCCCAAAGGATCCGACATACTATTCTGACCTCTGTGGGTGCACTTATATATATGCAGGCGATACAGTCATACACATAAAATAAAAATAAATAAAACATTAAAAGTTAAAATAAGTGAAAAAAGAATTTTAATTTCCAGAGAAATCATAAAACAAATGTATTAACAAACTGTGTTTTAACTTTTCTGAGTTTTTCTTTTTTAATCTACATTTAGCAATTATGTTTAAAAGGATTTTTGCCCCCCAAACTAGGAAATGTAGCTGGGTGTGATGGTACATGACTTTTTTCCATTACTCAGAAGGCCTAGGTAGATGGATCTCTGTGAGATGGAGACTAGCCTGGTCTACACAGTGAGTTCCAGGCCAGCTACAGGGAGTCCCTATTTCAAAAAACAAAACAAAACAAAAAAACAGGAAATATTTAATCGTGCAGAGCCTTCATTGCCCAACTGTAGTGCACACTGAAGTCTGATATAAAAATCAACTGTGACCAGAATGGAGAGTTCAATAAAACACTGGCTTGTTTTTCTCTGAGTTTATAAAAGCTATTCAACCTTAAGTAAGCTCCTTAAAACAATGGACTTTACTGAAAAAAAGATAATCAACAATGTTGAAGAATAAAATATTTCACAGAAAGAAGTAATTATTGCACACATTATTCTAGTTTCAATGCTTTGATCAACAATGTTTCTTAAAGATTTGTTTTTAATTGTGTGTACATGTGTGTTTCTAGGTGAGGGTACGTACAGTCAAGTGCAAATGCACATGAATACAGGCACACCTGAGTATAGGTGATGAGTGCAGAGTCCGGTAGAAGCCAGAAAGGGGAATCAGATGCCCTGAGGATGGAGTTACAAGAGAATGTGAGAGCCTGACATGTATGCCGGCATTTGAACTCCGGTCTCCTAGAAGAGAAGCGCTCTTAACCACTGAGCAATCTCCCCAGCCCTTCAATAATGTTTCAACTAGAAAAATGTTTACAGACCATAATTTTGCAAAACGCAATTTCAATCAGCTTGATTTCTTTATTGACAGTAAGCAGGGTAGAGTCTTAAACCTTTATAATTTATCAGGCCACCTCTCTTGAATGTGCTTTCTTGATTTACCTCCAACTACTACAACCTGCCAGTACAAAAACAAAGCACTCAGTAGTGGTGGGCCATCATTGGGTCAAAGTATCCCATTCATAATTAAAAGGGGTTTTAAAATTAGATGGTAGAATCTCACTGCTGAATGCAGACAAAAAAATCTCAATAAAATACTTGTAAACCGAATTCAAGAACCTATGAAGAAGATTATCCACCAAAATTAAGTCAGCTCCATTCCAGAGATGCAAGGATGGTTCAAAATACCTACGTCAATAAATGTAATCCACCAAATAAACGAACTCAACAACAGAAGCCACATGATCATCATTAGACACAGAAAAGGCCTTTGACAAAATCCAACATCCTTCATGATAAAAGTCAAGGAGAATCTAGGGATACAGGGGACATATCTCAACATAACCAAGGCAGTATACAGCAAGTCGATAGCCAACATCACGCTAAATGGTGAATAACTCAAAGCATTTCCACCAAAATCAGAAATAAGAGAAGGATGTCCACTCTTTCCACTATAGTTCAACATTGTGCTTGAAGACTTACCTAGAGCAATAAGACAAGAGAAGGAGATACAGAGGACACAAATAGGAAAGGAAGATGCCAAAATATTCTTATTTGCAGATGACATGATCCTATACATAAAATGGCCTAAAGATTACACCAGAAAGCATAAAGCTGATAAACGCATTCATTAAAGTAGCAGGATATGAAATTAACACAAAAAAATTAGTGTCCATCCTATATACCAACAACAAACATACCAAGAAAGATATCAGGGAAACAATCCCATTCACAATAGGCTTTTTAAAAAGTTGGAATAACTCTAACCAAGGAAGTGAAAGACTTGCACAATGAAAATTTAAGATACTGAAGAAAGAAATGAAGAATACAGCAGAAGATGGAAAGATGCCCCATGCTCACGGATTGGCAGGATTAATGTGAAAATGGCTATCCTACCAAAAGCAATCTATATATTCAATGCAATCCCCATAAAAATTCTAACAATTCTTCACAGATTGGGGAAAAAAAATCTTAAATTTCATATAAAAACACAAAAATCCCAGGATAAAATCTCATCATCTCTGACATAAGTATCATCACCTCTGACTTCAAGTTATATTTCAGAGCTCTAATAATAACAGAGCTCTTATGCACGCTACTAGCATAAAACTAGACACACTGATCAATGGAATAGAACTCAAAATCCAGATACAAGCCCATACTTCTACAGCCATCTGATTTTTGACAAGCCAAAAATACACATTGGAGAAAAGACTGCACCTTCAACAAATAATGCTGCTCAAGAAGGATAGTTACCTGTAGAAGAATGAACCTAGATTCCTATCTGTCACCCTGTACAAAACTCAACTCCAAATGGATCAAGGACCTCAACATAAGACCCAGTACCCTGAATCTGATAGAGAAGAAAGTAGGGAATACAAAGCACAAGTAAGGACTTTTTGAACAGGACCCCAGCAATGCAGGCAATTAAGACCAACAACTGACAAATGGGATTACATGAAACTAAAGTTTCTGTACAGCAAAGGACATGCTCATGAGTGAAGAGCCAGCTTACAGAATGAGAAAAAAAATCTTTACCAGCTATACAAACAACTCAAAAAAGTAAATACTAAGAAAACAAACAACATAACTTAAAAGTGGGGGCATAGAACTGAGCAGAGAATTCGCAAAGGAAATGCAAATGGCTGAGAAATACTTATAAAATTCTCAACATAATTAGCTATCAGGGAAAAAGAATCAAAACTATGTTGAGATTTGTTTTATCCCAGTCAGAATGGCTAAGATCCAAAAGGTTAATGAGAAATGACAACAAATACTGACATGGATGGGGGCAAATAGGGAAACTTAGTCATTGCTGGCAGGAGTGCAAACTGATGCAGCCAACAAGGAAATCAGTGAGGAAGTTCTCCCCAAAGCTAGAAATATCTCCCATTCATCAGCAATACACTCCTGGGCATATTCCCAAAGGACTCTATATCATACTTGCTCATCCATGTTCACTGCTGCTCAATTCACAATAAACAGAAAATGGAAACCACTTAGATGTCCATAATGGATGAATGGATAATGAAAGTGTGGTTCATATACATAACGAGATATTCAGCTGTGAAGAAAAATGAAATTATGAAATTTGCGAGTAAACGGATGGAGCTGGAAGTCATTCTGGTGAGGTAATCCAGACCCAGAAAGTGACTGCTGCATGCTTTTTCCCACATGTGGATGCCAGCTTTGACTCTTTACACTTGTTTGTTTAAAATGGAGTAGCCATATAAGGCAGGAAAACTAGTAAGGGGGGGGGTCAAGGGGAGCAGGATAGCACATAGGTGGTATGAAGGGGAAATCCAAATAATAGAACAGGAAGGGTTAAATTGGGTGGGGGATAGAACAGGATAAAGGAGGAAGAACATGGAGAGATAACCAATACTAAAATCCTTTGAAAATACCATAGGGAAACCCACTGCAGAGGCTTTCTAAAATATATACATACACTACTAAACAGGATTTAAATAGAGATATACTATAAGGGGGACAATGCCTTCCCCAGACACCACAGGCTATCAAATAAAAAGTCCAGTGACAGGCATATCAGCTCTAAATGGGATATCTGTATCACACTTCTTCCCTCGAGACACAAGGATCATCATGAAAGATGGGGTGGAAAGAATGTTAAGAGCCAGGGGGAAGAGAATAATATTGATAGTAGTGAAACAGGATTTGCTGGACATGACAGCACAGTTGCACATATGAACTCACAGCAGCTGTGATGGCATGCACAAGCCTTTCACAAAATCAAGCCAGCCAAAAATCCCAGCATGGAGGGAAGAGTTCACGGTCCCAGGTATATATAACTGCTGGCAACTGTTGGCTATTGGGGGAGGAAGAGTCAGAGTTCTTCAGGGTATAGTCCCTAAGAGACTACCCATGCTTCAGTAGAACTACATCCTAGCACATATAGGTAGTACTAAATAAACTCAATGGGTATTAAAAGAGAAATAAGAAGAGAGCAGAGAGAGAGAGAGAGAGAGAGAGAGAGAGAGAGAGAGAGAGAGAGAGAGAGAGAGAGAGAGAGAGAGAGAGAGGGGGGGAGAGAGAGATGGAAGAGAGAGAGAGAGAGAGAGAGAGAGAAAGAGAGAGAGAGAGAGAGAGGGGCAGAGACAGAGAGAGAAACACATGTTGGAAGGGAAAGTGTATGGCAGATAGGATAGGAATTGGAGGGGAGTTGATGTCATCCAAACACACTATATGCACGTATTGATAGTAGATAAAACATTAATAAAATTAAATTAGATGGAAGGTTACACTGGGAAGCTGGTCTATAGTTTTATAAACATCATTCAAATGAACCTTATTATTCAAGGTGGTTCGGTAATCGGCAGTATAATCAGTTGTAGGCCAGCTAGAAAGGTAGGATTTCAGGCCTCACTCCAGACTTACTAATGAAAATTTTCATTTAACTCATTACTATGTTGTTCTGTTTTAAGACAGGATCTAGTTATGCAGCACAAACTGGCCTGGAGTCCACGCTGGTCTTGAATTTTTTATTCTCCTACCCGCACTTCTTGAGTGCTGGGATTACAAGTGTATGCCACCATGTTCGGCTTCTCTCATGCTTATTTTTAAGTGCACTACAATTTGAAAAATATTGTCCTGAACATCATGACTCGGATTTAGTATGAAAGTAGTATTAAGCAAAAGAATTAATAATTCCTTACCTCACATACTGTTAATAAACTCCAAAGAAGGAAAAAATTGGGAGTAAAATCAAGAGCATATTTCGAACTGAAATTCTCTTTTGTTTTCAAAAGGAATGAAATTTATGAGGACACAGGATGATTCAGTAGAAGATGCTCAGAGTATATAAAGCCCTTGACTTAGGTCTCTAACATCCAATTTTTTTTAAAAGAAAGGTTCCTTTAAAAAACTAAAACAATTGTCAATAAGTAGACTTCTTTTCACTATTCAGAAATATGTTTATCATAAACAGGATATTATGATGAATATTTTAAAAATTTACAACTTGTAATCTGTAAGCAATTTATATCCAATTCATCCCAATTTTTTCTTATGCAATCAATATTAATACAATACAATCAGAAATCGAGATGCTAGATAGGAAAAAAAAAATATTACAAACTAGGCTAGGCTTTTAATCCCAGCGCTCAGGAGGCAGAGGCAGGCAGATCTCTGTGAGTTCAAAGCCAGCCTGATCTACATAGTGAGTTCTAAGCCAGCTGGGGCTACAGGGAGGCCCTGTCTCAAAACACAAAAAATATTATTATAGATTAGTAGGAGGAAGTGCGGCCTGAACAACCAGCACATGCACGCTGCAAACACACCAAAAACATCTGGTTGAGTCGAACCTGTATTCTGCCAAAGGACATAGAGAGGGCTGATGCAAGATAGCTTGACATAGAGAGCCAATAAGGATCAGACATGACCCGAGAAGGCCTACTGGGGCCAATGGGACATTGGAAGAAGGGTATATAAGGCAGTCCCATATCTGCAATAAACGAGTCTGCAGCACCTTGCACTGCCTGCTTCTCACCTGACTCCCGGTGTCTGTGTCGTGACTCCGCGTTGACTCTACCCCTGCCTGGAGGACCCCAGGACACCCTCAACATAAATTTCACTGAAGGTATGATTTTAAGAAATTAAATCCACTAACACTGGTGTTTTCCTTACTACTGATTTCAAATAGCATATATTTGAACATATATAAAGAAGAAAGACTAAAAAAGTTCCCCTTCTGATGAAAATATAGGAGTATATATATATACATGCATGAAAAAACACAGATACA